TGGGCTGGGATAGTGGATCGATTTAGATCCCCGAAAAAAAAAGAAAAAAATGAAGTGGGGGCGAGAGTAGTTGGTTGGGTAAGGAAAAAATAGAATGTATACCAGAAACATCGAAGTTGTTATTATCGAAGTAAATCATTTACTCTCATAACGGTAGGAGTGGGATGATCTAACGGGACGTGGGGTGAGGTGGACCTGGGTTGATACATATTTGACGCTCGGAATACTAGGAGCACGCTGCGCTCCTAGTAGTATCTCTATTATTTTAGAGAGTTTTCTATAATGTCTAGTATTTTTGAAAAAAATCCATATTTTTTGTCTTACCTATTTGTTGCATGAGTTTTTATTCACATTGAATTGATATGAATGCACATACATGGAAAGTCTAAAAACACTAAAAAAATGTTTTCTGCCAACCAGGGGAACCTTGCGCTTCAATATATTAGTAAAAGGAAAGCACTCTAAATCAATAGCACAAGCTAGGATGGAATTCATTTCATGAATTCAGCACACTCAAGTGTCAAACCATGTAATTTGGGTGCTGTTTTGGCGGGCGGCTGTGCCCATTTGGGCGCGAGTTGCTGGTCTTGTGTAGTTGTGTGGCCTTCCTCCCTTGCAACCGAATAGCGTCGTGCACGTGTGCTCCTTTCCAACGAAATTCAAAGAGGCAATTAAAGAACATGCTTCTCCGTGAATATTAAGTCAATTTATTAGCAAAAAATAGTTGAACAAGCGTACCAGAGGCTTTAGCAAGCTTAATGAGTACACCAACTACACCAATTATAGGCATATTTAAAAAATACTAGACCTAACATGTATAATATATTAGCTATAAAATCGTCGCTAATTTCGTCTCGTCTTTTTTTCTCCCACGTATTTAATTAATATAGTGTTTAAATTATCTTGTAACATTTGTAAAGCTATCTCATATAAGAGCCAATAATCTATATATATTATAAAATTGTAGTTGGCTTATACTTTGATCGTGTACGGACCTATATATATTGTAAAATTTTCAAATAAGATGAACTGATGTAGTTAGGAACGAAAACACATGGCTGCGCTTATTTTGAGACGGAGGAGTATATAGATAGACACGATGTGACAACACCAGGGCTGTTGACCGGCTGCCACCCTCCATATCCTTTACATTTTCTTGCTGTACATCTCTGGTAGCCGGCTGCTAACTGGAGTAGTCGCCTGATGCCATTCGTCGGTGTTTGACGAGAGAGAGGCTGCTATAGCTACGCAGTTTTCGTGTGCTAGTGCTACTGTCCGGGGTTGTGGACTGATGAACGCAGGGCAGGTGTGTGTTACTGTCCGGAGAAAAGGAGTATATATATGTTTACTCTTCAGCTTATCAAACGCAGTGAAAAATTTAACTCTTAGAAATTTTTCAACACATTCTAATCGTACTTCATTTTTTTTAGCATTGACAAGTCGCTCCGAACACATATATAGATGTTTATTATTTCTGTAACACTAATAAAGCGTTATGGCTTATAATAGTATCCGATTGATCCAGACAATTTTCGTAAACAGAATACATCGATTCGGTAGTGTTGGATAATGTTGAATAAAGATACTATTTTTAAACTTTTTTTATAAAAGGACTAAACTATTAATATATAGCAAATATACATGCTGATCGTTGTGGGTTGTAGATATAGAGTGGTTTTATTAAATCTTTGGTAGTGCAATTGAAGTCAACTGTATAGCTACAATCACACGAATTGCAATTAACTCGATATTTTTGTAACAGAGTTTATTAATTTTTAGTTTGTTACTGATCAGCCTGAAAAAAAAAAGAAATTCGAAGAGAATAGAGTGCTATATGGGCTGTAGTCTGATTTTACTGACTTCTCCTCCATACCCTCTATCTCAAAAAGAATACCCTCTATCTTCAAAACAACCAAATTCTCTGTACACGTGCATGTTTAATTAGATTGATCGCTATGATTTGATTGTTGAGAGTAGATGTTATTCCCAAAACCTGACCATAATTTCTTAAGGATTAACCATGCATGCATGGAAAAAATAGGAGTATCACCAGATATGATGTAACAATCTCACAGACAGCCGACTATATGAGACTGATCTTTGTCGCATCCATGCATAGCTCCGTGCTGTCACACGTCATCTTTAGAGCCGTGCTAGGACATTTCAGTTTGAATAATGGTCTCCCACGCATGCATGGATCATTGTCAGTTGTTGACTTCGACTAGTTAGTGATATGATGAGTCGTATTTCCAGGCATGTGTTCCACTCCAAGTCATGAAATTAGTTTCAACCGAATACTGCTATGTAAAAAGTTTCTACTCAAAACCAGGAACTATTTTAACTTAATGACTTAGCGTGAATCAATATTCCTACCTCGTAGATCGGAATCATCAACTTTCAACCAGATGCTGAGCTCACTGGAGGACGGATCTAAAAAGAAGGGCAAGGAGGGGTTTTCACCAGAGAGGAGGAAGAACAGAGAGAAACTAGGATTTCTGTCGTCTCACCTGGGAGGAGGAAGAAGAGGCCGCACTCCCCAACAGGAGGGTAAACTGGCTATTTTTTGGAGCATGTGTGTAGTGCTTTGTTTAGAAGCAGATCATTTGCCGAAAAATGGCACTACAATATAACAAAAGGGAAGAAGAGTAAATGAAAGGCTAGAGCTGCGGCTCGAACTTTATTAGCCACGTTTACATCGCAACCCATATATGATTTGAAGTTGTCTTTTGAAGTGCGCTTTAAGATAAGATTTGTGCAGTGCATAAAAGTATATATCCTTTGTGTATTTTGATATATTTATTCCAATTTAAATTTCTGAATCAACTACCGCTGTTCAATTTGCACGTGTACAATACATATTGCACATTTCCATATGAATATTATGTTTTTGACATAATATTTTATACATTTCTCCCTATACAAAGGATAATGTTGCACCGCATATTTAATATATTGGCATTTAATATAGTGGTACAACATGGATCTTCAGCAAATAGTCAGGGACAATGATGGGTCTGGGCAGACATAATGGGGATACGGCGGACGGTAGGAGTTGCACCGATGGAAACAACGGTGGCTCTGCACTTATGCACGCAACGGAACTAGGCGATGTAGATCCGGCTATCTTATGCGTCACTGGTGCTAGAGTAGCCATAAACTCTCTTCCATGGCCAGATCCATAAGTCATCGCAATCAGATCCAACATTATCGCTAGTCATCACCACCAGTCCACCATCTTGCGGGCCACCTCTATCAGATGCATTGCCTAACTCACGCCAACTCCAGCATGGTTTCTAACCATGGTGCACACCCACCACAACTTGCTTTAGTGATGTGGCCCATCATGGCGTGTGCGTCGTTGCCACCGTTGAGAGGACATAGGACGAGGAGAGATGCGGGAAGAAAAATGAGAGGAGAAAGAGGGGAAGTTATTTTTTTATATAAAAAATAGGAGAAGTAACCATTGCATATAAGATACGGTGAGGTTCATAGTATTTCTTTTCTCCATTTTAGTGCAGGAATCTCGACAAACATCATATGGCTTTTACAAATTGAGGGATAAAATATATAATATATAGTGTAAACTACATATGTAGTGTAAACCTAAAAACTACTGTTTAATTTGAAAATAGTCGTACAAGATCTGTCCACATCATCTTGAGTAAAAATTTACTCGTAGATTTAACCATTTGTAAAACTATTACTCCCAGTAAAACTTTTAGTTACGGTAATTCAGGTTATCACTACATATTTTAGATTGGGCAAAATTTGCTACAGGACACTCAAAAAACATGTAATTGGCTATGAAACATCGCAAAAACGTGACACGGCTGATGGACACTACAAAAATTGTGTAATTGGCTATAGGACACCGGTCGCATTATTTTATTATTTTCGGTTCAAAAGAGGTGAGAATTTTTTCCAAATGACGAGATTGCCCCTGTGCCATCTTCCTTCACCCGAAATCACAAATTTTTTGTAGCTGCCGGCGAGGTAGCTGGCGGTGGTGACCGCGCGCCAGGAGCAGCAGACGGCGCGGAGGCGGACGTGGTTGGAAGGGACGGGAGCTGGAGGAGCACGAGCCCTAGCAGGTCCGCCAAGAGATCCTACCACGGCGGCGATGGCTGTTGCGCTGCCGCCATCCTCCTCCTCCTCGTCGGTGCCGGCGGCAGAGCTTGACAGCGGTAGCGCCATCCACGCGTCGAGCGAGGACACAGCAGCTGCAGCTCATGCGGAGACGTCTCCATCCTCCGCTCTCGTCCCCGGCGCCGCCACCACCGAGTGCTCGTCCAGCGTCGGCAAGTGCTCTCCATCCTGCAGCCATGACCCTTGTCGCTAGCGTCGGCAAGTGCTCCTGCTCCTCATCAACTGTGCCGCTGCCCGTCCTCTTCTGCAAGATCTGCATGGATGACGTGCCGACGTCCGACGCGCACCGCGGCAGCCACAGCTGCGCGCACGCATTCTACGCCACCTGCCTGGCTGGTTCCCGGCGAAGTCAACGGGAAGGGGAAAAGAAGGAATGAGAAGGGGTAATCTAGGCATTTAGAAAAATATCTCACCTCTTTTGATTCGGAAATAATAAAATAATGCGACCGGTGTCCTACGGCTAATTACACGTTTTTTTTAGTGTCCATCAGCCGTGTTACATTTTTGTGGTGTCTCCTAGCCAATTATACGTTTTTTGTGTGTCCTGTGACAAATTTTGCCTTTAGATTGGGGTGGCTGTTGCAACCTGTTTCATACTTGGTTTTGATATACTGGGCTTTTCATGGACACTAACTTATTGAATATTTATGGTCTGGATGGAGAGAAAACGATCAAGAAGACCATTTGTCATCACTAAGTCCAGGACTCCAGGTCATATCACGTGCTTTCGAATTTTCGCTCACCATATATAATTATATATGGTCTATCTTTAAATATTTTATAGTAATATCATGTGCTTGGAAATCAAAGATTGGATGTCACGTGTAGTACGTAGTGCAAAAGTTCCACAAGATCAACAGATCAAGTCTTGGTGTCGGCTTATACAGCTGACTGATCATGGCATGGCGAAAGCATATAAAAGGGCCATTAGTTCATGCAGTTCTTCGCCAAGCAAAACTGCCAAGTAAACCTACTCACCAATAATCCATCCTCGAATCCTCGATTTATCATGGAGATAAACTCGGCAGCCACCCTCACCCTCGTCTCTCTCCTCACCCTCCCCATTCTTCTGGCGTTGCTGACCCGCAAGTCGTCGTCAAAGAAGAGGAGGCCTCCAGGGCCATGGAACCTCCCCTTGGTCGGCGGCCTCCTCCACCTCCTCCGGTCGCATCCGCAGGTCGCGCTCCGCGAGCTCGCCAGCAAGTACGGCCCGGTGATGTTCCTCCGGATGGGGCAGATCGACACGGTCGTCGTCTCATCGCCGGCGGCGGCGCAGGAGGTGCTCCGCGACAAGGACGTCATGTTCGCGTCGCGGCCGAGCCTCCTCGTCTCGGAGATCTTCTGCTACGACAACCTCGACGTCGGCTTCGCGCCCTACGGCGCCTACTGGCGGATGCTGCGCAAGCTCTGCACGGTGGAGCTCCTCAGCACCAAGGTGGTGCGGCAGCTCGCGCCGGTCAGGAATGACGAGACGCTGACCCTCGTCAGGAACATCAAGGCCGCCTCCTCCGGCCATGGCGGCGGCGGCGGCAAGAAGCCGGTCACCCTCGCCAGGCTGCTCACGACGTGCACGAACACGATCACCGCCAAGGCGGCGTTCGGGCAGGCGTGCGGCGTCGAGCTCCAGGAGCAGTTCTTGACGGCTCTGGACGTCGGGCTCAAGTTCAGCGGCGGATTCTGCTTCGGCGACCTCTTCCCGTCGCTGCGGTTCATCGACGCCATGACCGGGCTGAGGAGCCGCCTGTGGCGAGCACGCGGGCAGCTGGACTCCGTCTTCGACAAGATCATCGCTCAGTGCGAGGAGCATCAGGGTGATTCCCTTGTCAACGTCCTTCTCAGGATCAGAGATCAGGGCGACCTCGAATTCCCCTTCGGCACAACGAACATCAAGGCAATTATACTGGTAATAATTTATTTACTGGTGAATATATAGCACTAATTAAGATGTTATTTTTTCTACATTGTTGTTCATGTAGTCGATTTCATTGTGCAGGATATGTTCACGGGAGGGACAGAGACGACGTCGTCGGCCGCGGAGTGGGTCATGTCGGAGCTCATGAGGAACCCTGAGGTAATGGCCAAGGTACAGGCCGAGGTGCGGCGAGTGTTCGACAACAAGAGCCCACAAGACCATGAGGGCCTGATTGACAACCTACGCTACATGAAGATGGTGATCAAGGAGACTATGAGGTTGAATCCAGTGTTGCCGCTGCTGATGCCCCATCTCTGCCGGGAGACCTGCGACATTGGTGGTTATGAGGTCGTGGAGGGGACCAGGGTGGTGATCAATTCGTGGGCGATGGCGAGGAGCCCCGAGTACTGGGATGACGCGGAGGAGTTTAAGCCAGAGAGGTTTGAGGATGGCATGGCAGACTACAAAGGCTCCCGTTTTGAGTACTTGCCGTTTGGAACCGGGAGGAGGAGATGCCCTGGTGATACATTTGGTATGGTCTTGTTGGAGCTCATCGTGGCACGCCTTCTCTACTACTTCGATTGGAGCCTCCCTGCCGGAATGCAGCCGGATGATGTTGACATGGACTTCGTCGTCACCGCCACAACTAGGAGAAAGAACCATCTTCAGCTAGTGGCGTCGCCATATAAGTTGGCTCCTATCCAAATCTGATGGATATACGGCTCCTACCCAAAGCTGATGGATGTATCAGTGTGTTTGTTCTTTTCTTATCATAGGTGTATTTGTTATTCGCGTGTTTGTGTACCTTGTAAGGGTGCACGTAATGTTTGTCCCCGGATAATGGACAAACAAATAATAATTGTGAACAATATCATGTACTACTACGTATTTATTTAAAGTTACAAAATATTTGATAATTATTAAGAATTCAATGTGACTCGTCAATCATCAGTTTCTACTTAAATGATAGTCCAATATATCATCAGGAGACCAGGTTCTACAATTAGTACTCAAATGAGTCTCACTAAGATCCATCATGAAAAATATTTGATAGTACATTTATTTGGCACAAATGGCTTCCCTTACTACAGTTGCTGGTTTCAGTTTGTCTTGCTCCTTGTAGTCCTCTTGGAATAGTTTCTTCACCCAAGTAGAAATGCAGTGCACCAAATAAGCAAGATACGATAATTAATATTCCAATTTCTAATAAAGAATATGAAAAATAATTAGAAGTGAAAGATATACTATGGAGTTAGACAAAGTGCATATATTTAATTACATAGTAATTTTAACACAAGATCCTTGAAATAATCAAATTCTTAGTGTTGTTACGAAATTGCTAATTAGCGGGTGATCGCTCCCCGCGATCGTTTCTTTCCTTTCTCCATGTGTGCGTGGGGCACGGGCCGATCACGAGCCGCGGGTGATTGTGCATTAGGCCCGTGTTGTTATAGCATACTACCATTATGCCCATGCGTTGCAACGGGTTGTAATAATATTTATTGACATAAATTAAAATCAGAAACCATATATCACAATTAGGTATAAATGATGAAGGAAATATAACCATAGTTGGCCAAAATGATAATTCAATATCATAATAGTTATATAACTATATCCCATTTTTTTATTTGGCAATAAATAATTAAATACGGAGGAAAAATTATAAGTTTCAACAATTTTCAATGGATCACATAGTGCTAAAACTAATACTGTAAATGGAAAATAACTGAAATTATCTAGAAAGTAAAAAAACTTATTTTAGCCCATATATGAAAATTTGATTCATTAATTCTGAATGATTACCCGTTTCATTGATATAAATTAAAATTTTCCTATTCCATTCATATTAATATGGTATAATATTATGTGAGTGGTCTAGGAGCATGGTTGGGCTATTCGACCAAGAAGAAATAATGCCGAACAAGCACAGTTCATCATCTTCCCTAGCTGAAGACAAGAAACAAAAGAGGGGGAAAAATGGGCGTCGATGTTCTAGTGACCAAATGGCGGTGAGGGAGGTGGTAGGACATGTCCCACGATGTGACTTATCCATAGATGGTGGATGTTGGCAACAAAGAAAACAAGAACAACAGGAACACGGCTGACAACGATGTGGTCAACGTAAAGAGAGAAACAACAGCGGCGAGATCTAGTTATAAACATGACTGGATGAGTGCGTTAAAACATGTTACCAGACAAGGGTGTTCCATTTTCCTTGAGCCCGCAAGACGAACGATAGATGGAGAAAAAACGGCTAACACTATCCATTGTATTCCCTAGCTGACACGAAAAACAGAAGAGGAGGAAAGATGGGAGTCGGTGCTCCGGAGACCAAACGGTAGTGAGGAAGGTAGTCGTACGTGACTCAACCATAGCTTGTGGCACTTGGGAATGAAGAAATCCAAAACAATACGAATGACGTGTTCCTGACAGAGAGAGAACTAGCATCGGCAAGCTCTAGTGGTGAACACAACCAGGTTAGTGCATCAAAATGTGTTCCTGGACGAGGGGTTTCTATTTTGCTTGAACATGCAGGACGAATGGAAGACGAAGACAAATTAACTTATATTGTTCATCGTCTTCCCTAGCTGAAGCTGACGCACTTTAAGAGGATGCGCCGGGGAAGAGAGAGAGAGAGGGAGAGGGCTACTGGGAGGAGAGCGATGCCAAGGAGGAGAGAGGGGCTACCAGGGTGGAGGGAGGGAGCGCGGGGGAGAAGGGTGTTGGGAGGAGAGGGCTTTTCATGAGGAGAGGAGCGGTAGGGAGGAGAAGCGCCAGAGAGGAGTGGGCTGCGGGATGGTAGGGAGCGTGCGTGCAGCGGGGCTGGATCGAACACGTACGTAAAGAATACTAAATCTATGGTGGACCATGTTTTCAGTTCCTATATTTATCTTCAAAATTCAGGGTGCTACAAATGATTGTCACAAATAACAACATTGGACAATCCTATTGCATGTAAGTAACAACGTTGAAATCCGTTCTTAGAAATGAATAACTTTGTAACGTTTGTATTGTTTTGTTCATAACCTAAATTGGTTTTCTTGCCCAACATTCTGCAAAAAGAAAATACACCGTCAAGAAAAAACACCAAGAAGAGTAAAAGTGAAATGCAACAAATTTGTTCTACTAGACATGCATATGGTATGAACTGAATGCCAGTATTAATACTGTAGAAGTATATTGGTATAACAAATGTAGGGCTAACATACAGCCATGCATATGGCTAGAGTGCTACACAAAGTGTGTAACAAACATTAGTAAATATGTATTTTACCATGATTGCCATAAAAAAAACTTTGGGCAATCCTATTGCATGGAACTAGAAATGCACATTGTATAGAACTGCAATTCAACACTTAGCAATGTAAAATTTAAGGCAACTGAGAAATTATAAACTTTACTTTCATGCTCCTGGACTAAAATTGCACATTGCATATATACCACTGCTTATAGACTTAATGTGACATCCTGACCCTATTAGGATTTGGCCTATGTGGCCCATGGGAGCTATGTGCGCATGTTTAGTACCACTTTGCAATTTTACACGGATGGAACTAATTTATAAGGGCTTGTGTAACCCCAGGTATTCTCTTACCTAAAATGCTACACACTACGGTATAGAAGCCACTAAGTCCTAAATTCATTAAGAATTTCGACAGAGTCTCCCCTATAAATACGAACATCCACGACAGGCAATTATAAGTTAAACTAATAATAATATCATTCCCACAGTACGATCCATTGTTATAATCCATCAAAAGAAACTAATAGATATCTAAAAGATTATTACAAGACCGAACCATGGTATAGTTTAAGTGTCATTATCTACCTAAGCAATATTGTTTGATAGTGTGTAAATAAATGTGTATATAAGGGTGCTACTTCCTTCCCATGCATGTTGGTCTCAATGTGTACTTAAAACCAATTAAAACACAAGAGTGAGTATAAAAATACTCAGCAAGTATAATATAGAACTAGAAAACATATACATACATGATAGGAAATAGAACTTGCATAGACAACTTTCTTTCTTTGAAAAGGAACACATTTCCAAACACTAAGTTAAAGAAAATAGTAGTTCCCATCCCGGGCAAACATGAATTGAAATAGTAGTTTCCATCCCGGACAATTGTGAATATATCCTAGCATTTGCTGGCAAAGCCGAGTAAGCGTGATCAGCGCTTACCCACAGGAACATGAATAAAAACCATATAGCACATCCATAACTCACATGGAACATGAATAATTGAAACCGGAACAAAGAACCAAATTAAAACCATATTGTACATCCATGGCAAGCATGGAACTTGAATTATTTAACCAAAACCTAAATCCGGAATATTGAAACAAAAATATTGCCATAAACATAAGATAAGCTTGAAATCTAAATAGTATTAACAACAATCTGAACATATGCAATCCCATATCACACATAAATACATTGAAAATAAATAGAGCAAACACTTCGAGAATCACACAACTAGTTCATCATGCACTTGCCTCCAATGAAGGCTTGGTATCATGTACGATCTGAATGACCACCACCTAATCACAAACAAAACCTCAGCAAACACATTCAAATATGACTATAATAAATTAAGTGGTACGCTCCTATGGCCCCATCCCAATCTCAAACCAAACAGTAAACACCTCTCCCATCTATAAACAGCCCTGTTACTTCACAATTAATTAAGTTTAACACGGCAAACAAATACATTGTACGAAACTACAGAATGAGACCCACAACTTTCATGTAGAAACCATATTTTTATTTTGCCATTAAAAAGGCCAAATGCGCACATCAAAACGAGCTTCAGAATCTGCCCAAGAATTCAAACTGTCCACACTAAAACAACCATCACTGGAGTTCTACTCGCCCAATCAGGGTGTACTTTACTAATATGGAAAGCTAAGAAAAACCTCTACAACTTTGTCTATAGGCGGCCTGACGGATTCCACTGATTAGATCCTCCAAAAAAGTTCAACCTACTACTATCCAGATTACAACATAAAAACAATTGTCATACTAAAAAAAATTATATCTCCTAAACCACTTGAGATAAAATTGTGCCCTTTGGTCAGAAGATAGACCCAAACATTGTCTATAACTTCCTAGTTATATGCTTTGCAGAAAAAATTGTTTTGATCGTCCATTTGGCGAAATACAGAGACACAGAAAAACTGACAGCGCCCGAACTAACAATCCAAAACACTGTTAACTGTTATTTCAGCTATGGCCCCAAGGTGATCCAGGCGATGGCAGTTGCAACAGCTGGACGAATAATTTAGTTTTGAGTTTGTTATGCATGCACGAGAGATGTGGCGAGCTGCACGAGTCGGCGACCGCGTCAGGCGTGTGTTGTGGGCATGAGTTTTGCACGGCATTGGATCCAGGAGTTCCGGATCGTGGGATGGCGCGATTGTAGGCTTGGATTCCTTTTTTCTGTTATTGGAGTATAAGTAGCAGTAGCTAAGTTTCCATTTGTAAGTTTTTATGTTTAGTTGAATGAAAGAAACCAGAAAATTTTCCCACAAAATTCCTTCTCTCTCGCGATTCTCTGAAACTCTGAAATACTCTGCTTGCCTGTTCTGAATTTCTTCCTGTGTTCTTCAGTCTTCTTGTCTGTTGCCGTGCCAGAAGTGTGCAGTGTGCGCACAAAGTGTTCGATCGGGTGATTAGAAGCTAACAAACACAACACCTAAACCCATCCTCTAACCCTCCAAAAACGACGAATTAAAAACCCTAAAACAACCTACAACCACAGCTACAGGAAAGGTAGGCCTCACCTAGGTTTGCTTGGAGAACTTGTGAGAATATGATGGGAACACCAACACACCACTCCTCCTGCTCCCCTCATCTTCCTCGATCCGTTTTTCCAATCAAATTCTTGATCCATGGAGTAGGGTTAACAGGGGAGAAAAGAATACG